TGTTGCAGTAGTCCAGGTGAATTTAAATATAAAACCCATAGGTAGAAATGATAGTCCTTGGCAAGTAATGGAACTGTGGATGCGAAGTAGGAAATCAAGGTCATTGCCAATGTTTGAATATGGGTGATTTAGGAAAATGAGGTACCAGGAGGAGGAGTTTGGAAGGATTTTGGTTCGATTTTGGATATGCTACTGTTTCAGATATTAAAGGGGAATATTTCTGGGTATTTGTCATAAAAGTAGATAATTAATAGGGAATAGAGCAGGACATAAGCATCAGTAAATACAAACTTGACAGGCAAAAGAGGAAGCTGTGGAATGTATAGCAGTGACAGGAGAGAAGATGGGGTAGAGTTCTTGATTCTACATTTAAACATATATAGTTTTATTCCCAGTACTTAGAATAAGGATTTTTTTTTTTTCTCATTCTCTCAGGCTTTCTGAATTTCTCATATTTTGTTTTTATTTTTAAATTTCTATCTCAATCTCTCTAATTCTACTGTTAGCATTAAGGAGTTTGCTAAAGACCTGAATGGTAGGGTTGGGAAGGTGAGGGATATGAGGAGGACTGATTAAGGGATAAGGATCTGAAGTTTGCAGTTTCTTAGAGGGCTGGCAGGGAGAGTGACTGAATAAATTGGGTCCTACTGCAGAACAAGGCATGTAGGCATGTTTGTGCTCTGGTTCCCTCCATTTCCCTTTGCTTGCCTCACTGTGTTTACCCAACTACATCCTGCTTTGTGTTAATCCTCATCTCTATGTTTTTTTGTCTTGTCTCATTATAAGGATTCATCAAACGTGAGGAAGCCTTTGGAAACCGGGCACCGTTGTTCCAGCTCCTCTTCCCTCCCTGTCATCCATGACCCTTCTGTGTTTCTCCTCGGTCCCCAACTCTACCCTCCCCAACCACAGTTCCTGTCCCCAGATGTCCTGATGCCCAGCGTGGCAGGGGAGCCCCATAGACTCCCAGGTAACTCCCCCAAATCTAATATTATATGCCAGAATTTGGTACCTTTTCAGGGGCCTCATAGGGTCAAATCAGTATACCTATGGGGAGGGGGGTATCCCAAGGTGGAGTGGTGTGAGGGTATGAATTACTGCTTCAAAGTCGTGCATTGATCCAGATAAATATTAAATCATTTGTTGGGCACCATGATTCTTAGACCAAGGGTCTAGACCAGCACCCCTAGAGTCTGTCTACTTATGAGAATGAACTGCTTCAGTCATGATAGAATAAGCTTTTAACTGACAAAGGGGAGTTAATACCCAGTCTTTGGGACACCCCCAGAACAGAAATGGTCATCTCTATCAGCTAGTTTTCTCTCCTTCTGTCCTCTGAGTCTCAGCTGAGGGATGGTCTAGGAAGACAAGGAATGAGTGGGAGAATTGGAAAGACCCTATACATGGAGTACCCACACCATGTGTACAGACCCAGACAATTGTGGGGAAGGTGGGCAACATCATTTTGGCTTTCTTTGACCTTCCAAGTGAGATGTTCTCTTTTTTCCCCTCATGCGCTGGATGTCCAAGCTTGAGGCAGTGGTTCTCAGCGGATAAAGGGGATGTACTACCGGTATCTAGTGGGTAGAGGCCAGGGATGCTGCTAAATGTCACACAATGCACAGGGCAGTCTCTTCCCAACCCCAACAAAGAATTATCAGCCCAAGATATTAACAGTGCCAAAGTTGAATAAATGTATAAGAAAAGGCATTCCACATTAGATCTCAGAGATCAAACGAAGGCAGCTTAACTGAAGTGAAGATAACATTTTAAGAAAAGTTGGAAAAAACAAAAAAAAGTCAGGCACAGTGTCTCACACCTGTAATCCCAGCACTTTGGAGGCCAAGATGGGAGGATTGCTTAAGCCCAGGAGTTCGAGACCAGCCTGGGCAACATAGTGAGATCCCATCTCTATTTTTTTAAAAAAGAAAAGCTGAGTGAGGTTTTGGTATGGTGGTTCTAGAAGTATAGCCATCACAAACGGAGTATACGTTTGCTATATATTGCTATATATTAGGGAGCCCTCCTTTTGTATGCGTGTGTATAGTGGATAAGAGATTATAGTGGAGGGAGGTAGAGGTATGGCAACATCCATGAGACTGTTTCATTTGCCCAGGTTGGAAGTATGATATTTGATTTTGATGTATATTAGGAATTTTAAAAAATGGAATCAAAAGCACAGCTTGGTTCCTTCTTTCCCTTGTGTGTATGCTCTTGGTAGGGAATTGGGCTAAACAGCTAGGCATGGCTCTCTGGGAAGAATGGTATTCTGAAGATGCTCAGTCTTTGGGTTTCTTTTCTTTCCCCAGGAACTTCGAGGAGTGTCCAGCAGTTTCTGGCTATGTGTGACAGGGGTGAAACTTCCCAAGGGGCCAAGTACACAGGAAGGACTTTGAATTACCAGAGCCTCCCCCATCGTTCCAGAACAGACACCTCCTGGGCACCCTGGTCAGAGACTAACCAGCATATTGGGACCAGATTCCTGACTACTCCAGGGTGCAATCCTCAGCTAACCTACACTGCCACACTACCAGAAAAAAGCAAGGGCCTTCAGGTTCCTCACGCTCAGTCCTGGGGTGATCTTTCCCATTCACCCTCCCACCCTCCCATTGTTCATCCTGTGTACCCACCATCTAGCAGTCTTCATGTACCCCGGAGGTCAGATTGGAATTCAGATCCTGTTCCAGGGTCCCGAACCCCTGGTCCTCGAAGAGTAGATATGCCCCCAGATGACGACTGGAGGCAAAGCAGTTATGCCTCCCGCTCTGGACACAGGAGGACAGTGGGAGAAGGGTTTCTGTTTGTTCTATCAGATGCCTCCAGAAGAGAGCAGATCAGGGCTAGAGTCCTGCAGCACAGTCGATGGTAAAGGTTACTCCTTTCCTTTCCTGGAGCTACACCTTTCTATGTAAAACTGTACTGTGGGCCAGGCGCGGTGGCTCATGCCTGTAATCCCAGCACTTTGGGAGGCTGAGGCGGGTGGATCACAAGGTCAGGAGATTGAGACCATCCTGGCCAACATGGTGAAACCCTGTCTCTACCAAAATACAAAAAATTAGCCAGGCGTGATGGTGCATGCCTGTAGTCCCAACTACTCGGGAGGCTGAGGCAGGAGAATTGCTTAAACCCGGGAGGCAGAGGTTGCAGTGAGCTGACATCGCACCACTGCACTCCAGCTTGGCAACAGAGTGAGACTCCGTCTCGGAAAACAAAACAAAAAAACTGTACTGTGGCAGCGTTGGTACCCTGCATCACTGCCATGGTTGTGCTATTCTTATCTCAACATAGAATTGGTGGGTTCTCCTAAGGGTGTCAGGAACCTCTAAAAAGACCTGATTCTTTGGGAGGGGATATTTGAAATTCCAACTTCCATTCCCCCTAGCAAAAGGAAGCAGCTGCTGTTTAAGGGTTTTATCTGAGCCACTTTAAAGATGAATCCATGGTATTACTCTGGATACTACCCATTCCTTAGGATCTTAAGGTCACATTTTATTCCTGGATGCTTTATGTCCCCACCTCCACCTGAGCCCTCGTCCTCTGTTCCCTACTATATTCCCAACTTCTACTCTTTGTTTTATCCACCTATCCCTATTACCTGACCCTTTGTCTTCCCTATCTCCCATCCTGGGGGGGACATGTAGCCCTGTGGTCATGGTTCTGATTACATCATCAGGGCAGCCCCCTGCCCAGGTATTATGGCCTGTCAGCATTCCTTGTGCCCTCCAAACCTTAGGCCTAGAATGCGGAGCTGCCAACATAACATCCACCCTTTTGAACAGATGGAGTCAGGCACACTAACACAGCCTTCTGTCCTCAGCACAGCCATTATTACCACTTGCTCAGTTGTTGTTGTGAACCCTCAGAATCAGCTGAACTATTTTAGGCCAAACATACTGTTTTTGTAAAGTATTTTTCATTAATAAATCTATAAGATAGTTCTATTTAATTCCTTGTCATTCTTCCCTTTGTATGCTCTTGCTTTTTTTGTACTGGGGTGGGGAGGCCTAGATAAATACATGAAGTGGCTTTTGACTGAGTGGAAGTGAGGAGCCAGAGAGGAGTTGAAGGATATACAATCAAGGTGGGAATCAATGGGTCCTAAAATAGGGTGCCTGTCCTTTTTACTATTGCTGCTAGGATGTTTCCCATCCCTTTCCTGATAGAGCATTCAGTACTCAGTACATTATACACTTCCTTCCTTCCTCCCCTCCTTAGGGAGATTTTCTGGGGATTCAAGCTCTTCTTACAAACTCACTCCTGATCGATGTACTCTGGGTGCCTTTCCTCTATCTTATAAGTTTGTGACATGCCTCCTGTTCCTTCCTCTCCTTCCATGGGGGCCTCTCCCTTTCCCTTCCCCTGTAGTGTTACGGCCTTCCATGCCAGAAAAATCCATTTTCACCCGTGCCTCACTCCTGAGACTCTTCCCTCTAAATAATAGCTTGTGGGTTCCCTTTTTGGAAAATACCCATTGTTGGTCTTTCCCTTCGTCTTTCACCTCGGGTCTCAGGATTGAAACTGACACAAAGAAGAGGTGGAAAGGTACTCTTTGAGACCTTCGGGCTACTACTTACTTATCACCATCCATTATGAACAGATTCTGAGCACATGTATTATTGAGCAGGACAATGGGCAGGAATTTGTTGTTCCATCCCACTTGGATCCTGCACCATCAAGATATATAGAGCTTAGTGGACATGCTGGTCCCTGTCCATGATTCAACATATCTCCTGGTGTCGTGGATGCACTCCTCTAATAATTTTTGATAAACAGTCAATTCTTTTCCCTCTACCCCCTTTCCCATGAATGTCAGTCACCTTGGTCTCTATAAAGGGTCCATAATCACCTGGGCCCAGGTTCTGTGCATGCACAGAAATAAGGAATTAATTTCCAATTCCCTATTTACTCCTCTGCCTTCCAGGAGGAGGCTGTGTCCTTTTCAGGTGAATTCTTCAGATTCTTTGCACATCTCTTGGTGTCATCTTCTTTCTTCCCCTTACCTGTTTTGACAAACTGTGGCGCCGAAATTGCTCTAGCTGCATTCTTATTCTGTGCCTTCAGACTCTTGACAATTCCAGACTCTAAACACAAAGGCCAGAATTCTCTTTCAAACTGCATTTTGGATGGTCCTTTCTCCACTCTAGAACCTATAATGCTTCCTCTATTCTGTGGTCCCCTGCCAACCCTTTAGTATTCAGATCTGGTAGCTAAATCGTTATACATTTGTTTCTCTATTAGTAGGAGATCCTGAGGTTTAATCACGTCTCCTCAGTTTAATGGGAATGCCATGAGAGCGGGTGTGTTTTCTCGCAGTCGTTCATCGCAGCACCTAGCTACAGACTTGCCCCATCTCCTCATTCTTGATTCCGCATGCAAAGAATTTTAACCTGATCCCTTGGCCTCGTCCTGTTTCTCTCCTAGCCTCAGTAATTTTGCCCAAGTCCCTAGAGCCTACCCCGCCCCCACCCCCGCACGCGCAGTGCATGCCGGTCTTAGCCCCTCTGTAGGGAAAGAGGGTCCGCCATGTTCCCCGGCGGCGCCGCCGCTTGGCTCTGGTAGCCGCCGCCCCCGCCCCCAACCCCGCCCGGCCCAGAGCCTAGCCGAGCCCCGGGCCCAGCATGGCCGCCCCGGAGCCGGCCCGGGCTGCACCGCCCCCGCCCCCGCCCCCGCCGCCCCCTCCCGGGGCTGACCGCGTCGTCAAAGGTGAGAGGTGGACGAAGCCCTGGGGGCCTGGCCTGAGGAGCTAGCTGTGTGTGAGAGCGGGCGGGAGACCGTCCCCTCGGGAGTGGGCCCGGAAGGGCGGGCGAGTGAGTGGCTGCCTCCCTTGGGGAGTGGCCCCTGGGCGGGCCCCTGCTGGGCAGGACTGAGTCGGTGGCAGTGGCTCCGCGGTCTACCGGTTGCTTTCAGGCCGGGGCGGAGGTTTTGCTCCCGTGGCTTCCTAGCCCAAGGGTTGAGGCTGTTAGCTGCGGTGAGCCCCTTTTCTCCCCACTCGGCCTGTCAAAGCGGCGCAGGGGCCGCGATTAGTTTCCTGCCCCGCGACAGCTGCACTTCTGGCTTGCCGGGGCGAACTGAGGGGCTCGGAGACCTTCAGCCACGCGAGGCCCGCCGGTGAGCAGTCAGAAATCACCTCGGCTTTGGCTCACGCTTGCTCCCCAGTGACAGTCGTCCGCCCTATCCGCGTCTAGCTAGCGACAACCGCAGGGGTTCACTTTTGGCCGTCAGGTGCCACCCGGAGCAGAAACTGGGGGAACCTTGTGGGATGGGACCTTGGTGAAGGGTTGGGTAAGGAATTGGGAGGCCAGCCTTTATAGTGCAGAAAGGGAGAGAAAGCAGCATAAACAACAACAAAATTGTGGATAGGAAGTATTTACTTAGAAAACCGTCAACAATTTGGTCAAAATGGGTTACTCCTCCCCTACAAACACACACCCACACACTCATCCTAGACGAAAAAGTTAAATGTTTCTCAGCCAGGGCAGAATTTATGGATGTTTACCCACAACAGGTCAGCAGCTTAATTTAAAATAGAGAAATTGAGAGCTAATTGAGAGTTGCTTAAGATTCCAAGCTTCCTGGGAGAGCCTACCAACCTCAAACACTGCTGTGGAGGTGAAAAATAATTGAAATGATTCTCTTTACCATGTATCTTGATTGATAAATTGAAATCGTAGAATAAACTTTTCCTTATTTGTATTGTATTTATTTTTAAAACATAGGTACTTTTGTTTTCATTCAGCTTCTCAAATACACTGGCACAGTATTTAAACACTGTTAGCCTACTTTTGGAAATCTGACTCATATGTTTCCATTAAAATATTTAAAAACGGCTGGGCTTGGTGGCTCACGCCTGTAATCCCAGCACTTTGGGAGCCCGAGGTGGGCGGATCACGAGGTCAGAAGATCGAGACCATCCTGGCTAACACGGCGAAACCCCGTCTCTACTAAAAACACAAAAAATTAGCCGGGCGTGGTGGTGGGCGCCTGTAGTCCCAGCTACTTGGGAGGCCGAGGCAGGGGAATGGCGTGAACCCGGGAGGCGGAGCTTGCAGTGAGCCGAGATCATGCCACTGCATTCCAGCCTGGGCAACAGAGCGAGACCTCGTTTCCAAAAAAAAAAAAAAAAAAAGAAACCTTTTTTCTTTTTTTTTTTTTTTTAATTAAAAATTTTAAACCTGAACCTTCTTTGGTTCTTAAAAGAGTAATACTAATTTGGCCCGGTGTGATGGCTCACACCTGTAATCCCAGCACTTTGGGATGCTGATGAGGCAGGCGGATCGCTTGAACTCAGGAGTTGGAGACCAGCATGGGCAACATGGCAAAACCTTGTCTCTACCAAAAATACAAAAAATAAAAATTAGCCGGGCATGGTGGCGCTCCCCTGTAGTCCCAGCTGCTCGGGAGGCTGAGGCACGAGAGTCGCTGGAGCCTGAGAGGCGGAGGTTGCAGTGAGCCGAGATTTGCGCTAGTGTGCTCCAGCCTGGACGACAGAGCCCGACCCTGTCTCCAAAAACAAAAACAAAACACTGATTTGCACCTAGGCGTAAGTTACTAGTATATCCAGTTGGGCCAGGCATTGGAATGAGCTGAATAAAGAATTTATGGAATCCTTATACAGATAAATCTTAAAAAAAAAAAAAAAAAGTGATGCAGGCATTCGTTCTGTCAAGAAATCCTGGAGTTTTGTGGGGGTGGGAACGGGATATTGGCTACAGTCATTTTCTGACTGTATTTCTGTGTTGTGTGTGCATTTCCCTGGGCACTTTTCACCAGACTGTTAGATGGGGTAACCAATCACATTCCTGAACAATGAGTTTATGCTATCCTTATGCTTGTGAATCTTCTTATTCCTTGTCATATATGTGGTAATGTTTTTTTCTGTACTGCTTTAATGCAGTGAAAATAAGATTCCAAACATAAGGCAGATTCCTTAGGGGTGAGTTGTGAGTCCAAGGCAGTCATATTTGCAGATTATTGGTGTGGAATAAAAGCCATTTGATTTAGATAAATAGGAAAGGAGCTTGTTAATATAGAAAATTATAGTTAAATAAAGCTCATGGTTATCATATTTCTTGTGCTTCATTGAGCCCTCTTCATAGAGACTACTTTCATTTTTTTATGGAATTTGTTAACCAGTTGGAATGCTGTATGGATTATGTGTTTAAAGATGGTGTGTAACAGACTACTTTGCACTGCTCATGGAGTCTCCTGCATTTACTGAGAAATTCACCTTTCTTACAGATCCAGAAATCCACTTTTAAATTTCATTTTCAGGATTCTTCTTGTCTTTTATTCAGTAATTATTCTATAATGTGATACCTGATGGTACAGAATACTGGTTGCCTGAGATAAATGATGACTTGTGTGAGTTCAGCTTAAGTTTAACTTGTTAAAATCCAAATTTCTTTTAAGTCCACAATGTGGTGGTAGTTTTGTATCCATACATTTTCTTAGTAGTAATATTATGGAGACCATCTGTTGGCATTAAATGCAAGTAGTCTTTTTCTCCCTGGAACTTCTTTTATTTTTTTGAGACAGTTTCGCTCTTGTTGCCCAAGTGGAGTGCAATGGCGCAATCTCCCTCATTGCAACCTCCGCCTCCTGGGTTCAAGCGATTCTCCTGCCTCAGCCTCCCAAGTAGCTGGGATTACAGGTGTGCGCCACTATGCCCGGCTAATTTTTTGTATTTTTCAGCAGAGGCGGGGTTTCACCGTGTTGGCCAGGCTAGTCTCAAACTCTTGACCTCATGATCCTCCCATCTTGGCCTCCCAAAGTGTTGGGATTACAGGCGTGAGCCACCGCGCCTGGCTTGCCTCCCTGGAACTTCTTAGTGTCGAAATTTTATATTCTATGTTTCTAGTCATAAGGCCTATATTTTATGGTCATGTAGGTTTTTAAGGGTGTATAGGTCTTTCTGTGTTTAAGATCAGATACCTGAAATTCACTTTTTGTGAAATTTGGGAGCTTGGAATACTGTAGGTGATTCATATGTAAATGTGATTAGCTTGTCACTAAAATTATTAGTGGTAATTCCATGTCATTGATTATGGGTGATTAGGTTTTTGGTTGATTAAATTCAGTCTGAGCCTACTCCAACTGCTGGCTCAAGTCAAATTCTTCCTCTGTTTGAAAGTTGATCTAACCCACCTTATTAAGTGAGATGGTATATACCCTTTTAATTATGTTCTATTAAGCATTCTTTAGCTATGTAGGAAATAAGAAAATGGAAAAAAATTAGGAAAAATATCTAACCGTATCTGCATGTGTGCTTTCTTACCACATCAGCAAAGCTGGTATAGGTAATTAAAGCACAAAACCCTGAATTGATAAATATTGCTTTCTCTCCTCCCCACAAAGTTTACTTGACCTGGATTGCCCAGATACCTCCTTTTTTCCCCAGATACTTAAAAAATGTACTTTTTGCTTTGTATACCAGATTCTAGATTTGTAAAGCTGGATTGTCTCTTGAGAGTATCAAGACTGTTAGTATTAATAGAAAAATTCACCTTTTTACTTAGAGAGCATTGTCAATATTGGGTATATGTTCATTTTAGCACCTATAACGTGAGTCATTTTCTTAACATTATTTGCTGGGTTATATTAACCTCAAATTATGAGACTTTCAGATTGAACCTAAATGCTGAATTTATGTGTTTTAATTTTTTTTAAGCTAAAATATTTCTGATTGGCAACCTTAGAATTCATTTACATGCTGTTGCCAGTTGCCCTGCTTATAAATCTGAAGTCATTTGACTGAAGTGTTTTCTAGTACTTTTGCTTTAGGAGGATTACTTATTATTTGTTTGTTTGTTTGTTTATTTATTTTTTGAGATGGAGTTTCGCTCTTCTTGCCCAGGCTGAAGTGCAATGACATGATCTTGGCTCACTGCAACCTCCACCTCCTGGCTTGAAACAATTCTTCTGTCTCAACCTCCTGAGTAGCTGGGATTAGAGGCATGCGCCACCACACACGGCAAATTTTGTATTTTTAGTGGAGACGGGGTTTCTCCATGTTGGTCAGGCTGGTCTCAAACTCCTGACCTCACGTGAGCCGCCCACCCTGGCCTCCGAAAATGTTGGGATTATAGGCGTGAGCCACCACACCCAGCCAGATAACTTATTTTCAGATAATCCATATAGCCTTGGCGTGACATAGCTACTTCAGTGTTTCTTGCTAGTTCTATTTCATTATATTTTAAAGCAGCTTGAATTTTAATTTTTGTTTACAAAGTCTGTTTTGTGGACTTACCTATGTAAAAAGATAACTCCTGGAAATTTTTTTTTTTTTACTTTCCACTCCCATTACTGTTAACCATACTAAAATAAATCTTTAGGCCAGACGCAGTGGTTCATGCCTGTAATCCCAGCACTTTGGGAGGCCGAGGCAGGAGGATCCCTTGAGGTCAGGAGTTTGAGACTAGCCTGGCCAACATGGTGAAACCCCATCTCTACTGAAAATACAAAAATTTGGCCGGACACAGTGGCTCATGCCTGTAATTCCAGCACTTTGGGAGGCGAAGGTGGGCATATAACCTGAGGTCAGGAGTTCGAGACCAGCCTGACCAACATGGTGAAACCCCGCCTCTACTAAAAATACAAAAATTAGCCAGGTGTGGTGGCACATGCCTGTAGCCCTAGCTACTCAGGAGGCTGAGGCAGGAGAATCGCTTGAACTGGGAGGCAGAGGTTACAGTGAACCAAGATCATACCACTGCACTCCAGCCTGGGTGACAGCACGAGACTCTGTCTCAAAAAAAAAAAAAAAGCCGGGCGCGGTGGCTCACGCCTGTAATCCCAGCACTTTGGGAGGCCGAGACGGG